TCACTCAGGCCCGGAGATCGGCCTCTTGGGCATCCATGAAAAGAAGCATAGAGAGTCACATGACCGCTATACCTTGAAGCACAATTACGCTGATGAGTTCGGTGTGGGGGGAACTCAAGCGGGCATGTGAAGCAGGGGAGAGCAATATAAAAAATACACACACATGCAACAGGAGCGCAAAGACCTTAAGCGTATATAAAGAAGACTGGCTGTCTCTATGAGAAAAAGGCGGGAAACTACTTACACAGCGGGAGCCGAACGTGTGGCAGCCTAGATGGAGGTTTGAGGTGTCCAATGAGAGCAACGTGGATTCTGTGCGACAGGAGCAATGCCGTGGTGGAGATTTTGAATGCCACGACGTTGGCGTGTGGGAGGCAGAATCGGGGAGAGAAGCCGGGGATAAGCCTCGGGGGCTTAAAGGAGAACTATGACGCGAGAGCTTTTCACTCACCTCATAGTTCTAGCCGACCTGCGACAATGAGACTGTCACAGGTCGGCTCAGTAGATCGGGAAGTGAGTGAACACATACCGGCGTTCACTCACCTCTCGATCCTGTCACGGCTCTCTGCCGTGACAGGGGAGGGACTGGATTCCCCCCGCTCCGATCTGATCCTCCAGCGCTGACTGGTGGAACGGACGGGGGAGGGGGCGTGTACACCTGGCTCTGCCTCTAGATAGGCAGAGCCAGCTGTCAGTCACACAGCTGGGCGGATCCAGACATAATTGTTGGGATCCGCTACAGCTGCGGCGTCTCGGCGGCGGTATACTGAGCCTAGGGTGATGGGAGGACGCGAGTTTGTGTCCTCCCGTTACCCTAAGGAGAACTATGGGGGAAAAGCCCTGACCCCATAGTTCTCCTTTAACACTGTAGCTGTCACCCTAACAGGTATCAGGGAGTGGATGTAGTGTGGGGTGGACTGTCCCTGCTCCAGTCAGCACCGAGCGGCCGCGAGCGACAGGAAAGCCGCTCAGTGTATCGATGGAGCGGCCAGTAAAGTAGGTACGGGCGGTCTGGAGATCGTTTGGCAGCCGCAATGGACCGAATATTCAGTCAGAGTGTCGGGCGGCAGCAGGAGTATCACTGATGGTAGTGAGGGAAAGATAATGGCCGGAGCCTACTGTCCACGTGCTGTCACCTGCAGTCATTCCTCGTGGCCACAAGATGTCCTCAGTCTTCCAGGTTCATTCATCTTAGACTACTTCGAGCAGGCGTAGCAAACCTCCGGCCCCTCCAGCTGGTGGAACTACACATCCCATGAGGCATTGCAAGATTCTCACAGCCACGGCTCCCGAAGAGAGATGCATCATGGGATTTGTAGTTTCACCACAGCTGGAGGGCCAGAGGTTTGCTACCCCTGACTTCGAGCTTTGGTTCTCAACTGGTGGGTCGTGACCCCGTGTTGAGTGGGTCGCCACATGCCTCCCGCTCTTCTAGGTGAGAGGCTCCTCTTCCTTCCCCTAGCACAGCACTGTCAGTTCTCACGCCGAGCAGACATTCCAAATATGCTGCCCGGTGCTGAGTGTTGACTTGGGGTGGAGTGTGGGTATGGCTGTGAGGGAGCTCCATCCATGTGTGCCTTGCTTACAGCTCCCTCGCGTGTCCTCACGTTCTGGCTCCCGGCACCTCTACAGGGCACGCAAGCATTTGAATGGCACCCCAAACGCACCTCCCACCTACAGTTCGATCGCCCTAACCGGAATGCGTTCCGAGGCCGTGCGTTCCATTGCAGTGCGACTTAATGACCAAGGACAAATGTGGGTCCTGAGGTTACACAGGGTGAGAACCACTGACTTTGAGCATGCTGTGAGCCCTGGGCGTCATGGGGCCTCCCCCTTAAAGGGACATCACCGCAGATAGCGGTACTGAAGTCATCATCTTAGTGGCACGCTGCATCATTGAGGACCAGCCACCTCCTAAAGAAGAGCCAACCCACACATCAGGTGATTGGCCTGAAGACATCTGGAGAGGGTTATAAAAAAAAATCAAAATGCACACTGGGGGCCTGAAGCGGGAAGCTTTTGAGGGGTTAGATGCCCTTGAGGTGTGTAAGTCTAAGTACTTGGAATTCAAACGTTTGTATACACCCGGACATCTATTGAAGACACCTGATAGTTCCACTGTACAGCTGTCATAGGGGAAGGAAGTGAACTCACATATGAGCAGGTGGCATGAGATCCACCGTGGCAAAGTGGTCACACACACACCAAAGGCCCAACGTGTAGAAGGCCTGTATTCAGACGTAAAACATACATGGTAGCACTGGTGGACATCGGACCCACTGGGGCACCAAGTCTAAGGGTCAGCCTTATATCCTGGCAGGGACCACCTCATTGAGGTTTGGACTTGGCTGCGTGCTGAGCCCAGGTTGTGACCCCCCCCTAATTTCACCCTGCTCCGACATATAGAGACTAACCTACACAAGGCAGAAAGAAGACGAGGAAGGACTAGAAGCCTAGGAATGGTCCAGGTGGCATGAAGGGGTGGGTTTGGTATGGTAGCAAAGGGTCAGTCCAAACAGCAGGCAGAGACATGGTCAGTATGCAAGCAAAGTGTTGGTTCAGACAAGGCAGAGGCGTGGTTGTTATGCTAGTGAAGGGTCAGTACAGGCAGCAGGCAGATACATGGTTGGTATGCTAGCAAAGGTCAGTCCAGGCAGAGACATAGTATGCAGGCAAAATGCCAGTTCAGGTAACAGGCAGAGATCTGGTCAGTTTGCAGGAAAAGTGTCAGCCCAGGCAGGAACATAGTTGGTATGTTAGCAAAAGGTCAGTGCAGGCAGATAAATGGTGGGCATGCTAGCGAAGGGTCAGTACAGGCAGATAAATGGTTGGTATGCTAGTGATGGGTCAGTACAGGCAGATAAATGGTTGGTATGCTAGTGAAGGGTCAGTGCAGGCAGATAAATGGTTGGTATGCTAGCGAAGGGTCAGTACAGGCAGTACGCAGATAAATGGTTGGTATGCTAGTGAAGGGTCAGTACAGGCAGCAGGCAGACAAATGGTTGGTATGCTAGTGAAGGGTCACTACAGGCAGCAGGCAGATAAATGGTTGGTATGCTAGCGAAGGGTCAGTACAGGCAGTACGCAGATAAATGGTTGGTATGCTAGTGAAGGGTCAGTACAGGCAGCAGGCAGATAAATGGTTGGTATGCTAGCGAAGGGTCAGTACAGGCAGCAAGCAGATACATGGTTGGTGTGCTAGCGAAGGGTCAGTACAGGCAGATAAATGGTTGGTATACTAGCGAAGGGTCAGTACAGGCAGCAGGCAGATAAATGGTTGGTATGCTAGCGAAGGGTCAGTACAGGCAGCAGACAGATAAATGGTTGGTATGCTAGCGAAGGGTCAGTACAGGCAGATAAATGGTTGGTATACTAGCGAAGGGTCAGCACAGGCAACAGGCAGATAAAAAAAATGCACCTTCGCCTGTGTAGGCAAAAATCCTTGCACCGGCCCATGACGTCTGATACCCCCCAAAATCGCCAATCTTGATGGACAACATTCAAGTTATCTTCATTTTATACCTTCCTCTCCATTTGTTTTTCTCAGCCCTGCCAAGGGGCCAGTTCACACCATAGTGTTCGAAGGAGCGGCTGCCATTTTGTTGTAGCCCACCGGAAAGTTTTCACCAGGATCCTGTGTTCTGTCCATGGTGTGTTTACCTCTGTGGAGTAGCCTGTCTTGCAGCCTGAATACACTATAGCATTGCTGTAAAGACGCAGTACCTGTGCGTTTTCTCTGTGATGTAGTACAGCACAATGCACCTCATGCTAGGTGTGCTGTTCGTTGTGTTGTCATTCATTCTACTAGCACAGATTAAACGCAGTATTGTGCATTGCAATGCTGTGCAGTGAAAAGGAATTATGCATGCAATTTTTTTTTCTCAACACATGGTTCTGCAACGCACAGTATTGCAGTGTAACACACGCCTGCCAGGAAGCACATTGGGGTAACAATCAGAATTACTAGCAACACAATGCACCAGCTATGCTATAGCACGCCTTTAGTGCAACGCTATGGTGTGACTGTGGCCCTGAGACAGGCTACTCTGCAGAGGTGAATAAATACACCATGGACGGAGCACAGGCTTCTGGCAACTGTACTCAGCTCTCAGTTTTACAAGTTTACAATCAACCACGACAAAATGCCGCAGCATCAATTCCTAACAGGCTACAGAAAAATGGCCGCCGCACTCTTCTGACTACGGGTCCTCCGTGGAAACAATTAGTGCAGACTCGCTTATGTGTTTTCAGTTTCTACAATGCGGGCGTTGGCCAGCAGAGGGCGCAGGTGTGCACACGCTCCACTCTGCGGAAGAGGCCTACATAGGAAACCCGGAAGTGAAAGGAGAACTTCCGGTCGTGGGATTTAAAGGTAGGCAAGCCTGCAGGTGAGTGTTGGGGTTATAGTGAGCCCATGAGCTGTAATCAGTATTTAGGTGGATGGGAGGGTTATGAGACCTTCCAGTCCTCTTCTATAGCTTTCCTTGCACAGGAGGGTCTGGGGTCATGGTGGACACTAGAGGGGGCTTATTAATGGAGATGGGAGCAGGAACATTGGGGGAAGTCATAATAAAGTCTGAAGCAGTTGCCCATGGCAACCACTCAGCTTCTCTATTTACAGCTGTACTGAACAAAGAGAGAAGCTGATTCATACAAGCTGAACATGCAAATAAAAGCATGAAGACTTACCCATACCCGTCCCCCGCCAATGACCTCTGCTGACCTTAAAGTGTAAAACCCTTACAATGAACTTGTCCTATTTGCTCCCTTTTGTTCTGGTAAAGTGGAACTGAAGCCTAAACTTTTTTTTTTCTGTCTTCATTTTGGGTAGCATAAGGGAGGGTTATATTTTTTTGCTATCTGTGTCCCATTGGGGAGATTTCCCTTCACTTCCTGCCCCATAGCCACAACCGGAAGTCCCTCCAAAATGAGGGGAATCCCTGGTGGTCACCAAAGCCCACAGAAAACAGTCTGTGACACAATCCCTCCCGGCCCAATCAGTTGCGGCCGGGGCATTCCAGCTACATGTCACAAAGGGCCTATCACAACTGATTGGGTCAGGAAGGGGGTGTGTCTGTGACAGTATTGTGCAGGCTTGGGTGAGCTCAGGAGATCTTGGTTTGCGTCAAGCCCCCACACATCATTAGTGGTCACTAGAACTACTGTCCCTTGTGGAAGATTTCCCCTCTATTCCTGCTCTGCTGCCCCCCACCCGCCCAGCAAATCCAGTGTTGTCCTGCTTTGTAGCCGCTGCTCCGCGGACACAGACCGGGTCCTGCGCCGCCATCTTCCTCCACTTGGTCATTGGGAACCAGCTGTCGGGTTCAGGCAGCCAGCGCTCGACGACTCACCTCTGGGTCGCTCTTTTTCCTTGCGCCTGAAGCCTTCTGGGATATATGATGCCGGAGGTTTGTCACCTGGGTGGGAATGGCGGTGGGGGGTGGGACCAAAATTATTATTATTGATTACATTATTTGTTTCTCCCAATACAGCAAAGTCTTTAGTTTGGGAGGAATCCCCTCACTGAGGATGGAGAGAGCAAGAGGAGAAATAACTGAGAGGATATTAAACCTCACCCTGGAGATCATCTACCTGCTGACCGGAGAGGTGAGGAGGATTCTGGGAGGTCACATGACATCACTCTAATCTCTATTAATAAAACACAGACCTGACCGGAGAGGTGAGGAGGATTCTGGGAGGTCACATGACATCACTCTAATCCAGTGGTTCTCAACCAGGGGTTCGAATGACGATTTGCCAGGGGTCGCCTAGCGGCTTCCGGCCACCCAGGGGAGAAGCGCTTTCTCTGCTCTTTTTTTTCTGACAGGGTTCAAAGTAACCCTGCCGCTCCGTGTGCACAGTGAGAGGGGATAGCAGTCTTCCCCACTCACCTGTCACAGAAGTTCCAGCACAGTGCTGTGCTAGGACTCCTGTACTGGAGGTGACAGGTCAATAAAGAGAACCTGTCACCTCCAATTGCTAATGCACAGGGAACCTGTCACCTCCAATTGCTAATACACAGGGGCTTGTTACCTCTGTGTGATAGCAATGAAGTTAAGTGGAAAAAAAATAGATACAAAAATTATTAAAGAACTAGAAATAAAAGAATTACAAAAATAAAAAAGTGATTGAAAAGAAATAAGAAACAAATTTATAAAAAAATAAGAAAATTATAAAAAATAAACAATAATAAGGATGAGAGTCCTCCTCAGCCCTCTCCAAGGGCAGCAGTGTCAGTTCTCCCGCCACGCCGCCAGAAGTCGCTGCAGCAGCCGCGTCATCCCTAAATTTTACCGTTGGGGGTCACAATAAAATACAGAGCTGACCAGAGAGGTGAGGAGGATTCTGGGAGGTCACATGACAACGCTCTGATCTCTATTCATAACACACAGACCTGACCGGAGGGGTGAGGAGGATTCTGGGAGGTCACGTGACATCACTCCTATCTCTAATAATAAAATACAGAGCTGACCAGAGAGGTGAGGAGGATTCTGGGAGGTCACGTGACATCACTCCTATCTCTAATAATAAAACACAGAGCTGACCGGAGAGGTGAGGAGGATTCTGGGAGGTCACATGACAACGCTCTGATCTCTATTAATAAAACACAGAGCTGACCGGAGAGGTGAGGAGCATTCTGGGAGGTCACATCATCACCCATTCATCATGGAAGTGCTACATTGCATTATTGCCATGAAATATTCACTTTAATATGTTATTTTCTGCACAGGATTACATAGTAGTAAAGACATCTGAATGAGGAACATAAGGAGATCCCTCAGGCCCGTCCTCTGTATTCCCGGGACTCCACACAGGAACATCAGGAGATCCCTCAGGTACATCAGGAGATCCCTCAGGGACATCAGGAGATCCCTCAGGGACATCAGGAGATCCCTCAGGTACACAGACCTGAACTTCTTATGAAGAACCAAACCCCGTCTACACTATCTATACATATCTATACCGTATAGTTTCAGGTCCTTGTATTGGGCAATGTTGTTTACCTCTTTTTTTCGATTCATTTTAGTCTGAAAACCTCATCAGTGTAAAACTTGAATACTCCGAGCGTGATCGGTCATTGCCAGAGGAGGAAATATTCAAAGAGATCAGCAAAGGTCAGTAATAAACACTAATGGTTCTAATTATAACCAATACACATAGCCATTCACCCTGGGAATCTTTCTGAACGTTCGTTCTGTGTGAGACAAATGCTCGTAGGAATATCGGGGAAGGTTTATCAAAAGTGGATCAGTTTGTTCAGTTAAGCATTAATAATGAAAGAGAGAAGCTGATTGGTGACCATGGAAACTGCTCCAGATTCTGTCTTCTCCAGTTTAGAAAAATTCCCCTCACTGGGGGGATTGTATCAAATCTGGAGCAGCTGTGCATGGCAACCAGTCAGCATCTCTCTTCAGTCTGTTGAGTTAAGATTTGAAAATGAAAGAGAGAAGCTGATTGTTTGCCACGCACAGCTGCTCCAGTTTTGATCAACCCCCTCCCCCCATTGTCTTTTCAGGTCAAATGTATGTAATGTTGCATGTTGGCCACTAGATGGGGCTGAGGAGCACAGCAAATACCTATTTCCAATGCTCCTCAGCTCCATCTAGTGGCCAAAGTGCAGCAGTACGTTATGTACATTCGCCCTGAAAAGAAAACATATCTAAGAAGGTTTGTTTTTGCATCCATTCGCACAGAAGGAACGTTTATAACGATTTGTAGGGGGAATTGGTTAGAAATTGACCTTCACCCCCAACTCAAGCCCTCCTAAGCTCATCTACACTAACACAACCCATCCATAAAGCTAAGGTCTGTATCACAGCCACAGGCTTGTTCTTAAATGGAGCCAAATAACAAAGATCTCCCGTCTCGATATATGCCCCTAGTCAAGTCAGTGAGGTCTATGTAGCAATCATTGGTAGAAAGGTCAGGGCGCTCTCACTGTACTATATCGCCTTGCATAGCAATAGTACGCTGATCATTGCTTCAATCATGTTTTGTGCCAGATGGACAAGCGAGCAAGCAAGAGAAACTCCCCCTGATCTCCCCCAGCTGTAAAACAGAAGATGGCAGCATCCTAGGTATACATCCCACAGGAAACGGTGCCAATGTTTCACGCGACCCCTCCATCCACGGTGCCCATTTCATCTCTGTGCGAACTAACACGGGCAAAAAGCCGTACTCAAGCGCCGAATATAAAAAGAGTTTAGCGGAGATGTCCAGCCCGGCTCAGCACCAGCTCAGGAAAACAGCGGAGCGTCCGTATGCCTGCTCCGAGTGTGGGAAAGGCTATACGCACAGCTCTAACCTTACCCGACACCAAAGGATGCACTCGGGGGACAGGCCGTACTCCTGCACCGACTGCGGCAAGTGTTTCTCACAGATGTCCACCCTCGCCACGCACAAGAGGACTCACACCGGGGAGAAACCTTATTCCTGCTCGGAGTGCGGGAAGAACTTCACCCAGAAGTACTATCTCGTCATCCACCGCCGAATCCACACCGGGGAGAAGCCCTACACCTGCCTGAAGTGTAAAAAATCCTTCTCGGTGAGGTCGCGGCTTAACCGCCACCAGCTCATGCACACCAAGAAGAAGTCGTTTTCGTGCTCCAAGTGCGGGATGTGTTTCGCGCAGAAGTCGAGTTTAGTCACCCACCGGAGAATGCACGAAGGCGACGCATCCCATTCCTGCCCCGTGTGCGGCAAGTGTTTCATACGCAAGGCCAGTCTTGCCAACCACCAGCGCATGCACGTGGAGGGGAAGCCATTCTCATGCCCGGAGTGCGGCAAATGCTTTGTGGACAAGTGGTACTTCCTCAAACACCAGCGCATGCACACGGGTGAGGAGCGCTACACGTGCGCCGAGTGCGGGAAGACCTTTATAGACGGGTCGTACTTTGCCAAGCATCAGAAGCTGCACTCGGAGAAGACTAACCCGTGCTCTGACTGCGGCAAGTGCTTCGTGCTCAAATCTGACCTGATTAGGCATCGGCGGATGCACACGGGTGAAAAACCGTTCTCGTGTTCAGAGTGCGAGAAATGTTTCACGAGGAAAGCCTCGCTTATATCTCATCAGAGCAAACACAGGTGACAAGGCGATGTTACCGCGGCCAATCCAATCCAAGCTTGCTTTTATTTCTGGTGAATCCGCCAGCATGACTCTGCACTGGCAAGTTGGCTCTCTCCCTTGATTATCTTAGAGGCGGACGGGCTGTGCGTGAAAGGAGGCGGGCTGGCTGGCTGTGCGTGAAAGGAGGCGGGCTGGCTGTATTCTGTACTGCAGTACTGTTTTCGCAGGCCAGCTTTCCAAGGGGGTGTGTCCATGACAGCCTGGGCTCACAGGAAGCGGGTTGAACGATGCTGGCCGTCATTCGGCTTGGAAGATTGGAGACATCTAGCGGATTTTCGAGTATAAGAGTTTTATCTTTATTAATGAAAGAAATAGCAGGAGCTGGAGTTCTGCTTTAAAGTGGGTGGGACAGAACTGGCAACTTAGGTGGAGGGTAAGGTGGGCGATTCACCATGCCACCCTCCTCCAAATACCCCAATGTGTTATGGTGGAGGAGCCTTGTGAAGGGGTATCTATCCCGGGCACCATGATCTCAGAGGGTGGGGCCTGATCCCCCGCACAGACCAGGCTTTGTACTCTGCTCGGGTATCATTGTGAATGTTTGATGAAATAAAACATTGTCCAGTTCCCTCTGACTTCATTTCTTCTACAAATGGGATGAGTTGTGGGTCTGATCATATGACACAACAATGGGATTACACCTTTAGATCCCTCCTCCACATGGGTATGCAGGACCAGCGTTTCTCAACCTTTTTTCAGGCATTTGAAATGTATGCATAATGACGAGGCACCAGAATGAAAACTGTCATTGGAAATGCTATTTTTTTTTTCAAAAATGTAAAAAAACAAAACAATGTGTGGCCCCAACAAAATCTATATATCGGACCCTTACCAGAGATAGGAGTCTGGTAAGGATTTTAAGGGGGACTCCAGGCAAAAACACAAGTGGAATTCCCCTCACTTCAGAAGCCCCCACCCTTACATCAGGAGCCCACTTAACATTAAGTTTCCTCCACATCAGGAGCTCCCTTTCAATTCAGAGTCCTCCCTTTCCATCAGAAGCCCCCCTTTCCATCAGGAGCCCCCCTTTACATCAGGAGCCCCCTTTACATCAGGAGCCCCCCTTTACATCAGTAGCCCCCCTTTACATCAGTAGCCCCCTTTACATCATGAGCCCCACTTTACATCAGAAAGCCCCCCTTTACATCAGGAGCCCCTCTTTACATCAGAAGCCCCACTTTACATCAAGTCTCCTCTGTCAGGAGCTCCCTTTCAATTAGGAGACCCCCTTTCCATCAGAAGCCCCCTTCACATCAGAAGCCACACACTACATCAGGAGCCCCACTTTACATCAGGAGCCCCTTTCACTTCAGGAGCTACACACTACATCAGGAGCCACACACTACATCAGGAGCCCCACTTTACATCAGGAGCCCCACTTTACATCAGGAGCCCCCCCTTTACATCAGGAGCCCCTTTCACATCAGGAGCTACACACTACATCAGGAGCCACACACTATCAGAAGCCACACACTACATCAGGAGCCCCACTTCACATCAGGGGCCCCACTTTCCATCAGAAGCCCCAAACTACATTAGCAGCCCACTCCCTCTTCACATCAGGAGCCCCCCTACCCCCCATCAAATCAGAAGCATCAGTCTTCACATCAGGAGCCCCACATTACACCAGAAGCCCTACTTCACATCAGGAGCCCCCTCGCTCTTCACATCAGGAGCCCCACATTACACCAGAAGCCCTACTTTACATCAGGAGCCCCCTCCCTCTTCACATCGGGAGCCCCACATTACACCAGAAGCCCTACTTTACATCAGGAGCCCCCTCCCTCTTCACATCGGGAGCCCCACATTACACCAGAAGCCCTACTTTACATCAGGAGCCCCCTCCCTCTTCACATCGGGAGCCCCACATTACACCAGAAGCCCTCTCTTCACACGTTTGGACGTGGTCGCAAGGAGCCTGGGAATGCTTGAAAACAAGGAGCTGTAACATTTTGAATTTGTTGCCTAAGGCGAGGGCTGGCCTTCCATTGCTACATCTCCCTATTGGTGGTTGCCACCTGACCAGTAGAAAGCACAGCAGTGTTTTCTTCCAGGAAGACTGGGAAATGATTGGTCTTAAAGGGACCATTCGGGAGATGCAGGAGGCACAACCCTTGATTTGAGGTATGCGCAGGAGCCGTAGGGTGCGTGGTGCTGAGTTATAAGACCAGTTTGGGTTGTTTTATATAGTAACAACACATTACGCTGATGTAAGGGAGGGAGTTTCTGTTCTGGTATCCTTTCTGTGCACCGGCATGGTTCAAGGTTGACCCCAACCAACATGGCGTTGTTCTTTAGGTCGGGTTGTGAGGAGACACTCTTCCAATGAAGGTTTTGTTTTATCCTCTTTGTCCGGTGTCCCATAAGAAATAATTCCATGGATCCTTGAAGAGTGGTCACAGGCCTTCACGTTGAAGGTCTTCCAGTTATCCGAGATAGAGAAATGCTCAGCTCATCCATTGGTCATTCTTTAGAGAGGACCGCTACTGCAGCAGATCTCACCATGCCTGGTTCTGCACCGTGTGGAGGCGGCCATCTTGGTAGAGGAACAGAGCACAGGAATAAGGCTTCCTCATGTCAGAAGTGCCCACTTGCTGACTGGAGATGTGATTATTGGTGGAGGAATATTGGAGCTTGTTCACACCATGGCTGTGTTATGTGTATGTATGGTGTGAACTACGGATGCACCGATACCCATTTTTTTAGTATCGAGTACCAATATATTTTTTTCGGTAGTCGCCGATCCCGAATACTGATACCGAAAGTCCCATTAAGGAAGCCAGGTGTTGTGTAAAGACTCGCCGCCTGGCTTCCTGATCAGCAGAGAAGCCGTTTCCATGCTTCCTCGTTACCAGGTGAGGAAGCTTGGAGCTGGCGTTCTGGCCAATCCGGAAGCTGGGGGGGGGTAATGACTCACTGCCTGGCTTCCTGATTGGTTGAGAAGCTGGCCAATCAGGAAGCCAGGCAGTGAGTCATTACGCGGCACCCAGCTTCCCGATTGGCCGGGAAGCCGGCTCCATGCTCATTCGTCACTTGGTGACAAAGGAACAGGAAACCGGCTTTCTGACCCATCAGGAAGCTGGGGGCGGGTATTGACTCACTGTGCGGCTTCCCGATTGGCTAGCTTCCCGACCAATCAGGAAGCTGCACGGTGAGTAATTACATGCTGCCCAGCTTCCTGATTCCGACTCCATGCTCCCTCCAGTGACGTGACGAGGGAGCATGGGGGCGGCTTCCCGGCCGATTAGGAAACTGGGCAGCGTGTAATGACTCGCTGCCCGGCTTCCTGATGCCGGAAGTTCGGGTATCAGCCTAGGCATCAGAGCATTTGGACGAGTACTCGCCCAAATACTCGGTTTCGGCACCGATACTAGTAACGGTATCGGCTGAGCCGAACCTCCAGCAGGCTACTCGCTGCCGTTCGACCTATTCGCATAGGGGTTGAACGGCAGTGAGTGAATAGCCGAATGCCGCCGAGCAGCATGCGGCTCGGCTATTCTGCTCGGTTACCTCCGTGGTACCGAGCAGCATAGAAAATCAGTGAAAAAAAGTTTATAAATTATAAATCTAAAAAAATAAAAACAATTGGGTGGAGCTAGCAGTGACGGCTAGCTCCACCCAACTGTTTCCTATTGGCCAGGACCTGCTAGAGTTTTCAACTGCCACTGTTTAATGACAGTTCAGCGTCCCCATCACGCTGATCTGTCATTGCAACTGGGCGGAGCCAGCCCTGAGATCACAGCTGGCTCCGCCCAGCTGTCAGTTGCGAGGCTTTTAGCCAGCTGTTCGCCCCGCTCCGGTTGTCACTTCGGCTCAGTCGTGCCAAAGCATATGCCTTCGGCTCGGCTAGCTTCGGGAGCTGTACGGAATATAGTGAATATTCGACTGAAGCAAAGGTCTCCGGTGGCCGAAGCTACGCCTGATCCTTCGTCAGCTTTGTGATTAACCCTCTAGTGTCTTACATATGCGTGGAGTTCACTTTAAAGTTACCTGGTAATTGTTCCTTCCGTGATAACCGAGGTCCTCCTCCCGCCGCGCACACCGACGGACCTTTCCTTTCATTGCATAATAAGAATCATATCTATTCTTTTTTTTTTTTTCTTTTCGCACAAAAAAAACCAGCAACTTTTCCACGGAAGTTAATGGGACAGAAATGTTTTATTTACAAGGAGTTCATTCTTCAACCCGTATTAACTTGTGATGTTGGGGTCTTGATTCTTGGACCTGGTCCCCAGCTCAGAAGTGCTTCTCAGTGGTCAGTATGGTCATGTGACCATGCTGGGCAATGAGCACTAGCCAGTTGCAAGTATTATTCTCATTACATACGGTGGGACTGTGAAGTACAGAGAGGGGAATGTATCAAAATCTGGAGCAGCTGTGCCTGGCAACCAATCAGCTTCTCTCTTTCATTTTCAAATCTAAACAGACCTGAAGAGAGAAGCTGATTGGTTGCCAGGCACAGCTGCTCCAGATTTTGTCTGCTCCAGTTTTGATAAATTCCCCTCAGAGTACACCGGCTGGCGGGGGCTTCACACAGCGGGCGCCAGGAGACATGGCGTGGGGTGCGGTTGCTAAGTTCATTTTCTCACATTTAAAGGAGATGTGCACTATAAAACAAAGGACATTTATACTTTTTGACTCTGTCCCCACCTCCCCCACCCCCCAGATGCATACTTCTCTCCATCCGACAGCCGCTGTTCCATTTACATCCTGCTAGGCAAGTCTTCACTGTCCTGGCCACGCCTGATCATTGGTGCGTCAAAGTTCTATAGGGCTGTGTACTGGAGCTAGAGATGGTCCCATAGATGTATATGGGGCTGGGACAGAGAGGATTTGCAGCTCTGGATGTAAACAAACAGTGGAACTGCAGCCATCAGATCTAGGTAAGTATACAGCTGTGAAGGGGGTGGGTAAGTTTAGGGCAGGGGTGGGGGCAATACGGATATTGGTACTTTGTTTTAAAGTGCCCTTCTCCTTTAAGAAAGCTTATATGTGTCATCAGTGTCAATTTTGGGGATGTAGATTGAATGAAGGCAGTCACAAAGAAATAGGAGCAGCCTTGTGCTAATGAACATGTGCACTGCCCATGCTCACACAAGGACTAAGAATCTTCCTACTGCTCCCACCTGACATCACTTGGGCCTGGCCACTGTTCAATTGGGTACACAGAGATGCATTATGGGAGGCACAGGGAAGAGTTGTATGCTCTTGTGGGCAAATGGAGCAGTACGGTAACAAAAGGAAAGTTTGGTGGCGGCCAATAAAGTGAACCCGTTTCTTGGCCCTGCCTGTGCAAAACACAACTTAAAGTCAACCAATATGGCTTATGTCTATTTCTTGGAGTCTGACAGATGACTGAAGATGACTTCAGAAGGGATGATGACTATGATCTGGAAGTGCCCCATCCTGAACCCGAAGTCTTTGCTCTCAGGTGACTCCTCTGATGGGCAACAAGGTGGCTGTTCCTTGTGAAACATTTCCCACACTCGAAGCAGGAATAGGGCTTCTCCCCTGTGTGAGTCCTGTGGTGTTTCGAGAGATTGGACTTATCTTTAAAGCACCTCCCGCACACGTGACATGAATAGGGCTTATCCTCCCTGTGGATCCTTCCGTGTCTAAGAAGATTGGCTTTGTCCCGGAAACACTTCCCGCACAGCGAACAGGGATAGGGCTTCTCCCCTGTATGAACCCTTAGATGGGTGAAGAGGTGGGACTTCTGGGCGAAGCACTTCCCACAGGCTGAGCACTCGTAAGGTTTTGTCCGGAAGTGAATTCTCTGGTGCAGTAACAGATTTGAGTTTTGGGTAAAACATTTGCCGCACTGAGGACACGGGTACAATTTCTCGACTCGCGGACTCGCACTGTGGAAATCTGGATCCAGGTCATCGATGATGCACACGTCATGTGTAGAGAGGTCGGACGATAGATCTTCGCTGGGAGGTGCTGGGAGGAAATTCGAGACCTGGTGGTTTTCTATTGGAGAATCACATATGATGTCATCATCTTCTGTTTCTCCATCTACAGTGATAATGGGGTGCTCGTACTTTTTGTATCGTCCATCTGAAGGGAAATAAGAGCACATAAGCCATTGGCGTCACTCAGTTAAAGCGGAACTGCAGGCAAAGAGCTAAATACACCAATGAAATACGTCCATAAGAGGGTTTACTAAGGTTTTCCCTGGCAATGGATTCGTATGTTTGTCTATCCAGTCCTGAAATCTACACAGCGTGGACTGGCAGTAGAGGACCCAGTTATATAACCGTTACAGGTCTTGTCCCTGGACAATGAAAGGAGAAGCAGCAGACTGATAGCTTATCTCTCTGCTCTCTCTCCCATCATGTTCCTTGTTAGCACATGACCATTGTAGCGCACCTGATTGGCTCCTTCTGCTGCCCCACGTTAAAGGTGAGAATACTTATTTCAGGCCAGTGACTCAAATTATTACAGAGAGTCAGTATGAGAGGGACAGGCAACTAGAGTTCTCAGAAGTTACTCATAGCAACTTTACTTGGGTCTGATCGCTCCCTCTCCCTCGCTCGTTCTACCGCTCCCTTGCTCATTCTCCCGCTCCCTCCTCGTTCTCCCGCTCCCTCGCTCGTTCTCCCGCTCCCTCGCTCGTTCTCCCTCCCTCGCTCGTTCTCCCTCCCTCCCCCGCTCGTTCTCCCTCCCTCTCTCCCCCGCTCTCTCCCTCCCTCGTTCTCCCTCCCTCCCCC